CCTTGCAGGGGGGTTGCGATCCGCGCAATTGTCGCCACTTTCGTGGGCTCCTGGGAGGCCCAGCGGAGGTACGCCATACGCGGACCACCTCGGGACCTCGCCGCCCCCTGGGGGGCTCGCGATCTGAGTAACTGTCGCCGCTTTCGTGGGTTCTTGGGAGGCCCAGCGGAGGTACGCCATGCGCGGACCACCTCGGGGCCTCGCCGCCCCCTGGGGGGCTTGCGATCTGCGCAACGGTCGCCACTTTCGTGGGCTCCTGGGAGGCCCAGCGGAGGTACGCCATACGCGGACCTCCTCGGGACCTCGCCGCCCTTGGGGGGCTTGCGATCTGCACAACTGTCGCCACTTTCGTGGGCTCCTGGGAGGCCCAGCGGAGGTACATACGCGGACCACCTCGGGACCTCGCCGCCCCCTGGGGGGCTTGCGATCTGCGCAATTGTCGCCGGTTTCGTGGGCTCCTGGGAGGCCCAGCGGAGGTGCGCCATACGCGGACCACCTCGGGACCTCGCCGCCCCTTGAAGGGGGCTTGCGATCTGTGCAATTGTCGCCACTGTTGTGGGCTCCTGGGAGGCCCAGCGGAGGTACGCCAGACGCGGACCACCTCGGGACCTCGCCGCCCCTTGGGGGGCTTGCGATCTGCGCAACGGTCGCCACTTTCGTGGGCTCCTGGGAGGCCCAGCGGAGGTACGCCATACGCGGACCACCTCGGGACCTCGCCGCCGCCCCTGGGGGGCTTGCGATCTGCGAAATTGTCGCCACCTTCGTGGGCTCCTGGGAGGCCCAGCGGAGGTACGCCATACGCGGACCACCTCGGGACCTCGCCGCCCCCTGGGGGGCTTGCGATCTGCGCAATTGTCGCCACTTTCGTGGCTCCTGGGAGGCCCAGCGGAGGTACGCCATACGCGGACCACCTCGGGACCTCGCCGCCCCCTGGGGGGCTTGCGATCTGCGCAACGGTCGCCACCTTCGTGGGCCCCTGGGAGGCACAGCGGAGGTACGCCATACGCGGACCTCCTCGGGACCTCGCCGCCCCCTGGGGGGCTTGCGATCTGCGCAATTGTCGCCACTTTCGTGGGCTCCTGGGAGGCCCAGCGGAGGTACGCCATACGCGGATCACCTCGGGACCTCGCCGCCCCCTGGGGGGCTTGCGATCTGCGCAACTGTCGCCACTTTCGTGGGCTCCTGGGAGGCCCAGCGGAGGTACGCCATACGGCACGAATTCTTTCAGGCCCTTGTGTTTCCATGTTGTCTATTTGCCGTTCCTCTTCTTGCTGTGCTCTTCTGAAATAACTGCCGGGTGCTCTTCTTGAGCATTGCGGGTCCTTCAGAATGCCAGTCAGCATTGAGTGGTCCTGAGTAGAATCGCCACATGTATTGAAAGGGTTGGGTACGTCACAGGGTAATTCTCTCCCCCAGGGTCCCGAAGGAGCACCTGGGGTGACGAACGGGAGGCCACCCGCTTGTTTTCCTGGGGAGGTATCCCAGTGGCACAGGTGCCAGGAGGAGGAGGAGGAGGAGGAGGAGGAGGAGGAGGAGGAGGAGACGGAGGAGGAGGAAGTGGAGGTCGCCTTCTTGGGCCGTTTTGCAGTCGTCTTGGGAGCCTCTTGAGCCGTCTTGACGCAGTCTCAGGGGCCTTTGGGACCGTCGGAAGCGAAGCCCCCCCGTTCCCGAGCACTGAATGGCGCCGGGAATGGCGTCCCCCCCCGCCTTGCAGAGCGAACCCTCCCCCCCCCCGGCTCCCGAGCACTGAATGGCGTCGGGAATGGCGTCCCCCCCCCCTCTTGCAGAGCGAACCCCCCCCGGGCTCCCGAGCACTCGTCCACCTCCCCCCCCTTGCAGAGCGAACCCTCCCCCCCGGCTCCCGAGCACTGACGGGCATCGGGAATGGCGTTTCCCCCCCTTTGCAGAGCGACCCCCCCCACAGATCCCGAGCATTGAATGGCGTCGGGAATGGCGTCCCCCCCCCTGAAGAGCGACCCCCCCCGGCTTCCGAGCACTGAATTGCGTCGGCAATGGCGTCCCCCCCCCTCCCCCTGCAGAGCGAACCCCCAGCCGGCTCCCGAGCACTCGTCCCCCCCCCCCCTTGCAGAGCGAACCCTCCCTCCCCCCGGCTCCCGAGCACTGAATGGCGTGGGGAATGGCGTCCCCCCCCCCTCTTGCAGAGCGACCCCCCCCCGGCTCCCGAGCACTAAATAGCGTCGGGAATGGCGTCCCCCCCCCTTGCAGAGCGAAGCTTGAGCGAGCTCAAGTCCACGCCCTCAGAAACTCACACGCCGGATCGGCGGATGTTATGTTGCCTCGTCTCCGTGGCGGGCTGTTTCCTTCCGCTGAAAATCGACGGGTCGACGGCCACACTTGAGCAGATCCAGCTTGTCGGCCGTCAATCACCCGGTCAGCTGACGACTGGCCCACTTGAGCGCTGAGAGGATGACGCGCCCCGTCGCGGGGCAGGGGTTTTGGGTGTGATTCGACCGCATCGAGGGCCTGTGGCACGATTGATTGCCTATATTTCGACCGTGGTGCCATCATTCTGACTCCAGATGGTGGCGTGTAGGGTGAGGAGTAGGCCGACTTCATCGAGCTGGTGGTCGCAGGTGTGTATGGAAGTGTGCCAAAGCGTCTGAATCCGAAGCCGTGGTACCACTGCGCCCCCGCCGACTTGGACGATCAGAACCCAATGAGGATCGAGGCGAGCAGTCAGATGAGGCGCCTGGTCGACTCGGGCGACTGTCCCCCGGGCCTACTGGCGCTGGGTGGAGATGCGCCGGGAGACGGTATCATGAATGCCGACGATGGTGGAATTGTTGTCGCGGCCTGCGTTGGCGGCACGGACACTCCGCGCGGGCTACCAGATGGGTTGATGATGCGTCGATGGGCACACGGTACCTGCCAGTTGCGGACGGGCTCAGCAAGCTCAGGGTTCTCAAGTTACAGTCGAGTGGAGCGATCAGCCGATCATAGACGGCCGTTCAGGCTTGTTCACTCGTGGTAAAGAGGTGGTTCCAGTCGCAAGCGTTCTGCCACCAGCGCACCCTGCAGGTGGTGTACACCCGACGCGGCGAGCAAGTAATGTCCTTCAACAGCGCACGCGGCATCTTCAGTGAGGAGTCCTTCAGCGATTTCCCCATCCAGGGTCCTCGTACGACAGGCTGGTTGATGGAGGCTCCCCACCGTGGCGGGCAAAACCTGGCCGCCCGCCACCCTTGGCGGCGCCAGATGCTGAGAACCACATTCGCAAACCCATAAATCGACGAACACCATCCGCTTTCGGAGCTGTTCGAGTCAGGCAGTCTGGTCACCCTGCCGAACAGCGCCAATTTCGAGGCGGCCGCACGCCGATACCAGCTGTGGGAGGGACGATACGCCGAGAAGCTGCTGGTGGTGACGGAGGGCGGCGCGGCGGCTGGTGTGACAGCCGAGCGTCCTCTGTTTTTGGGAATCGCCCGGGCAAGGGCAGCGCCCTGATCGCGCCGGCGCTCGCCCAGTGGGTTGCCGACAACGTGGGGCGGAAGAGCAGGATCCTCCAGGAGCGGAGGAAACGCTGTGATGGGCGCAACCTGGCCGCCATGGCCTCGAGGGGGTCGGCCGCATCAGGGGGCGCCGACGCTGGCCCGACGCGCGTGTGGCGATGTGTTTCAGTGAGGCCGTCGGCTTCCCATGGCCAGTGTTGTGAGTCACATCGAGGTGTCCCCCCCATCCCCTGCATGTCGAAGGCGCCTGGTTTTGCTACTCGGGCCCTCAGGGGAGCTGGCTTCGGGAAAGGGTTCGAGCTTTTTATTATGTAGGCGGTCGAGGTCGTAGCGCGCCGCGTGTCTCCAGCTCGTTGTGCAGGCTCGCACCTGGTCCAGATTCGCTAAGGATGGATTGCGCCTCGATCCCCGAGCCACCGAGCGATGTAAGTGTCCGGGGAGCCACCCCCCCGTTATAGCGACTGCCCGACCAGCGGGGGCCGCGCGCTGACCCAACGAGGCAAGGGCTCTCTGCCTCGCGTCGCGACGGAGGTGACTCGTCTAGGAGACACGACACCGCCCAGCGACCGTCCCCCGTTGGTGGAGGAGCCCACTGAGCGTCTGGCTGACGGCGCCTCCGCAGTGAATGCTGTCTCTTCGATCCCGCTTGATCTTGACCCTCGCACCCTCGCAGGGCCAAAGGCGGCAAGTCCTACGGGCGTCTTTTGGTGATCGCAGGGCTCATGAAATACTGTGGACGGGAAAATGGGGAAACGATGGCAATGGGGCGGAGGGGATATGGAGGTGGTCGGAAGGGTGATGGGGAGGACTGGGAATAGGACGAGAAGCGGGGTGGAATGGAGCGAAGGAGTAGCGCAGATGCTTGCGTCGTTGAAACCACGCTTCGGGCTTATACGCTCATGTATTTGCATGGCTGGTGTGGTGCTTGCAGAGGTACGTCAATGTAGGAATCGTAGATGTATTGCAGGATGCAGAGCCACTGCCTTTTCCATTCCATCCGTGCTGGCACGAAAGGCGAAGGTTTCCATTGCCAGCCTTGGTTGCCGGATCTCAGTCTGAAAACCCTCGGTCGCATATGGAGTTTCTTTTGTTTTCTTCTGGCGCGTAACGGTCGTTGTCCAGGTCACGCCCCCCCCCCTCCAGGTAACGGTAACGATCGTACGTGGGGGGCGGGCCTGTACCCCCCCACACGCTGGTGTATGCGCGCGCATTATGACCATCGAAGCGCACCCCCGCCCCGACGGGCCGCACCCCGCCCAATTTCTGCGGCCACTTGGGAATCCTACCAAGGCGGGCCAGGAGAAACTGAGGGATCGGACCCCCCGCTGGGATTTATTTGGCGGTTGACATTGTTCGATTGCTGAACTCCAGCTGGCGTTGCAGAAATCTGACCTTCAGGGATACTGTTCGCATGCGGTTACGTATTAGCGTTATTTTGCTACCCGCCCCCCCCCAGAGTAACGGCCTTTGTTGAAAATAGTGGAACAGCACTTACATGCGCACCCACTACAGAAAGAATTCGGCCAGCAGGGCAACAAGGATCCGGTTGCGTTGCGCTACGAGAGCGAGTCCGGCTTCGAGAGCCTCTTACAGGAGGTGAGAATGGCTGAGTCTGCCTCGACGCTGGCTTGGCTGGGGGATTCCAAAAGTGCGCTCCTCTCTGCTACCCCCAGGAATGGCACGAGAGTTCATCTCAGGCTTTCTTTTGTCCTTAATCGGCGTTGTGCGTCCAGTGTTTCGAGCTGGCAGCGCGTTTGGTAGCAACTCGGAGCGAGAAGTCGCCGGACCACGCCAACTGTCCGCGCAGGCCGGCCTCTCTCCGTCATCCCCGCTTGTTTGCTCCCTCGGGAGGGCCAGCGTTTCGGAGGGGGTGGAGGCAGGGGAGGAGGCAGGGGACGGGGAGGAGGACAAGCGAGGTACGCTCGCGTCAGATCCGTTGTCCTACCCCTTCCTCCCATCCTTTACCGTGGCGTAGATATCCCCTCTATTCGCACAGTCGGATGTCGAGCAGGGCAATGATCGCGAGAGGGTACGCGATGCATGGTGGAGCATGGCATGGCGTAGAAGAGCACGGCAGAACGTGGCATACCATGGCATGGCGTGGCATTGCGCAGTGAAGCATTGCATCACAAAACATTGCAACGCAAAGCATGGCATCGCGAATCGGCGCACAACACAATAACGCATAGCATGTCACGGCATAGCGCCCGGTTCGTTGGAGGGTAAGTGAATCGTCCTCGAGAGGTCTGGGGTGGTGTGGAGTCGTGGCTCCATATCTAGCCTTTTGTGCTCCCCGAAAAGCTCCACACAAGCCAGGGTTGATGGAGAGCACCCGCTGGCTCTGCTTTCAACATCGCCTTCTCCAAGCAGAAATGGGGCTCCCGCGTGATACTTCCTGAAATTGACGACGACCCAAAATGGGGGGGGCTTCTGCGCCCCCCCAAAAAAACAACGAATCGACACCGAATGTGCAATCACTTTCGATGGTTTCTTCGGTGGGCCATTCTTTTTAAGTTTGGGGCCGATTGAGAAGGACCGAGAACGCCCGATTTGGGACAATTAGAGGCGCAGTAATGGGGTCAACGCTTCAGCGGGAGCAGCAATTGGAAAGAAAACCAAGCGAAAACCCAACTCCCAGGAATCTGGCGTGTAAAAAGTCATCTTGGCGATGGAGCCAGCCATATGCAGCCGCGAGTACCGCGAGGGAGATGAGACAGAGGATGGAGGCTCGGCGGAGTCGAGAGGTCCACGAGCCGTCGCCGTGGAGAATTCCAGGAGCCTCGCGCAAGCGTCTCTTCCTCGAATTGAGTCGCGGGGACGCATGAAAACCCTGCCACTGAGGCCTTCGGCGGAGCTCCCTATGGGGCCACCAACCGTGTGAGGGGTGTACCGAAACGAGTCGCGGGGCACATGTAAATCCTGTCGTTGGGGCCTTGCGTGGAGCTCCCTATGGGGCCACGAGACGTCTGCGGGGTGTGCCGGAATGAGTCGCGGGGACGCATGTAAATTCTGCCATTGGGGCTTTCGGTGGAGCTCCCTATAGGGCCACGAACCGTGTGAGGTGTGCCAAAATGAGTCGCGGGGACGCATGTAAACCCTGCCACTGGGGCCTTCGTTGGAGCTCCCTACGTGGCCACGAACCGTGTGAGGGGTACGACGGAATGAGTCGCGGGGACGCGTGCAAACCTTGCCACTGAGGCCTTCGGTGGAGCTCCCTATTGGGACACGAACCGAGTGAGGGGTGTACCGAAATGAGTCGCGGGGACGCATGTAAACCCTGCCACTGAGGCCTTCGGTGGAGCTCCCTAAGGTTTTGGAAGGATGTTGGCCTCTTCGGGGCCTCCTGGGGGAGCTGTTTGGCCACTTAGAGCCGTCTTGGAGCGGTCTTGGGGCCTCTTGGAGCACCGTGGGAGCCATCTTGAGGCATCTGGGATATCTTGAGCCTTTTGGGAGGTCATCTTGGGCTCTCCCCGGCGCTCTTGGAGTGCCCCCTCCCGAGGAGGCCAAAATGTGGCCACAACCTTAGTACAATCAATGGTTTCGGCATTCTCGCCGAGGCCTCGGGGCCTCTTGGGGCCGCTTGGGGGTCTCTTTGGAGCCTTTTGGGAGCATCCTGGGAGCCTCTCGGGGGCCTCTTGGAGCCTCCTGGCCACCTCTTGGGGCACCCTTGGGAGCCTTGAGAGCGCTCTTGGGGCCATCTCGGAGGAGATCGATCAAAGAAGGGGGGTCCCTCAATTAGCGCTGCCCCCCCAAGAGGCCAACATGGGGCCCACACGGAAGAGGAACGCAAACGAAAGATCGTATCTGGGGACCACCCAGGAGACGAACCCAGAAATTCCCCTCATTCGCGCGACAATTTCGCAGCGTTGAGACGAAGTCCCCATTTTGAAAACGACCCGTTCTCCATCATTGGATGTGTCGCGAGCTTTTAATACGAGTGTGCACGGCGCTGAAGCGAGAGCCCTATTGTGACATTACCCTGACCAGGGTTGACTGGGAGGCTTGGCTGTGGGGTTGGCTGGAGGCTTGGTTGTGGTCATTGTTCGATTGGTGATTCTATCCGCATGGTACATGTTTCTGTTTCTCATAGTGCTTCCTTCCTTTCTGTTCTTCCGCCATCTCATCTGTCTTCATCCTCCTTCCCTCTCTTCGGACAGAGGCTGGTTGAGACAAAGGCGGCTCCCCCCACCCAGCCCATATCCGGTCACCATCGGTCCCAGGACCTGTCTCGGGGGACAGGAACGCCAGTGCCTCGACTGGCCCTCCTCCGACTCCTGGGTTTTCAGACCCGAGCTCGGGCGTTCGGCGGCCGTCCGGGACGGTCCTGGATCCCCCGGAAGGCTCTCCCGGCGAGGCGCAGCCATTGGAAGGCACCCCGGGGCTGGACAGTGCCGAGAAGCATGCTCCCTCGCGCGCCCAGCGGGTCGAGCCGCGGTGCGCGCGCGCCGAGGATGCGCCGATGGCCACCGCGCGCGGTGCGGCGGGCCGCCGGGCGCTGCTCGTCGCGGCCGCCTGCCTGCTGTGGCCGCCGCGGGCCGCCCCGCGCGCGCGCGGGCTCGCGCGCCGCGGGCACGCGGGCCCCGAGGACGCCGCCCGGGCCCATACGCCCGGGGCGCACGCAGCGGGGGTCGGCGCTCACGGTCACGCGTTGGCGAGGCGTCTTGGCTTGCCCATAGGCCCACGAACTCACGTTCTGAGAGCCGCTCGTGGTTGGCATGGGATATGTTTAGAGCATGTGTGGCTGAGACCGTCTCGCTATACTACGTCGGGTTTGTGGTCTGAGTGCACTCCTTGCTTTCTTAGAACATGTTTATTTTCTGAGAGCATCACGTGGAAGGCTCAAAGGAATGCCAGGACGGTCGGGCCCTGCTCAGCATGGGGGTCAGCCTTCCTTGGGCGCGTGTACTGAAGGGCTTCGCTTCTACGGGTGCTCGTTATGAGACTGGTTACTCTGCATCTTCTTCTCGCTCCCTGGAGGCTCCACCCTGGAAGCTGCCCACCTGGCCAGCCTCCGAGACCGTCCCTGTGTGCGTTCTGGCCAGAATTGCGATGCGGATGCAGCCGTGGCGGCGCCGAGGGCGTAGCCTGTGGAGGCCAGAGGAGGTCCAACAGCGTCCACATCGGGGCCCACGCAACGGGGGTCAGCGCTGATCGGGGTCAGCCAATTCCTTCTGGCCAAGGTCCATTTCGATCCGATCGATCCGAGTCGACAACGGTTTCGGCCAGCTCGATCCGATTCGAGTCCGATATTCTGACGATCCGATGCAGCCCGATGCTTGCACGGCGTTGTTGTTCGAGCAGTGGCGAAGCGTCCTGGCTTTTATCAGCCCACCAAGGAATGTTCTAAGGACCTGTTGTAGTTTGCACGAAACGTTCTTAGAAAATTCCGGGCTGAGACGGTCTTGTTTTAACACATAGGCCTTGCGGTCTAAGAATATCGTTTCTGGTCTTAGAACATTCGTTGGCTATCAGAACATTTCGTGGTTGGCCTATGGGAGTACCGGGACGGTCGGTCCCTGCTCAAGTTGTGCATCTTGGCGCAGCCGACCCGATTCGATTTCGACTCTGCGACGGTCGGGCGCACATTCCGATCCGATCCGATGTTCCTGTCCGATGCTGGTTGACCTGGTCTTGGGAGCCACGTGAGCGACCGAAGGAAACGGGGTCGATTGCGCCGACAGTGGCGCTTAAGCGTCCCGCGTAAGGTCGCGCGAAAGCGCCCTCGTTTCAAATGTGGTGTCTCCGATGCGCTCGGGGGCAAACCTTCTGTGGTCAGTGCTCGGCGGTTTTCTAGCCTCGGGATGCCTTCTTGCGGCCACGCCTCGCCGAGAGCGGTTCGGTGGTTCCTGGATCGTCCCGAACAGACGTTGCAGAGCCACGTTGTATCCGTCGAAGAGACGGTGGTGTTATAGCCATCGGTGTTTTCGTCGCAACTCTTTACCTGCCGAACCGTTAAACACGTGTTCCCACTATTTTTGTTCTTTGATTCCTCTCGCTTCGCGGGGTGCACGTCCGGAGCACGTACAGTCCAGTCGTTTCGGAGTGTCCTGGGAGCTCTTGGGGGGCTTGTGGAGCCCAGTCGTTGCCGGACTGCAGGGGATCTCTGGGGGGGCCTCTGGGCTGCGCCTTCTGGGCGTTTGTGGGGTTCTCTTGGGAGCTTCCTGGGGCCCTTCTTGCGTGTCTTGGGCTGTTTTGGGGCGCTCTGTGCCTCTGCTACCCCTCCCTCTCGCCTCCCGCCATCCCTCCTTTTCCTTCTCCCCTCCCCCTCCTCCCTTCCAGCGCTGGCTCTGATCACGGACGCCGCCGTGACCAACTTCCATCTGGCTGGCGCTGCGCCGCGGTTCGCCCAGGGCGGGATGTCATTTTTTAATGACTCACCGAGGGTGTTTCAGAGCACGTTCAGTCCAGTCGTTGTGGGGCCTCGGGGGAGTCTCTTGGGAGCTTCTTGGAAGCTTCGTAGGGGCTTTTTGGAGCCTCTGGGGGGCCTCTTTGGAGCCTCTTGGTGACGTCTTGGGCCGTCTTTGGGCGCTCTTACGCCGTCTTGGCCACTTCGGAGGCCACTTTGGAAGCCTCTCGCGGCCGCCTTGGGGCTCTCTTGGGGTCCTCTGGGGCCGTCTTGGGGGCTTCTTGGGCCGTCTTGGAGGCTTCTTTGGCCGTCTCGGGGCCCTCTTGGGCCGTCTTGGGGCCCCTTTGGAGGCCTCTTGGGCCGTTTGGGGGCCTTCTTGGAGGCTGCTTGGGCCGCCATGGTTTTCTGAGAGCCGAAAAAAGCGAGAACGTCGAAATTGCCCCAAAACTATAGGACAACCAAAGATTTTGGCCTCCGGAGGCGCTCTCTGGAGTCTTCTTG